GAGAGAGAGAGAGAGAGAGCGATAGAGCGAGAGAGAGAGAGAGAGAAAGAGAGAGAGAGATAAAGAGAGAGGACGGTACGACGACGGCGGCAGCGGCGCGCACGCGGGGGAGGAGGAGAGGGGGACGATGATGATGGACGCGGGGGAGAAGGGAGCACGACGCACACTGTGTGTCTCCTCCAGCTGATCCGCCGTGCGTCGTAAACGACGTTGTAACTCGTGCACTTCGGCTACGACGCCGCCTCCTTTTGCCCAAAACGTGGAGATGGTGTACACTGCGGTCGCTCTCCGCACACTGAGGAAAGCTGACGTCACGAGCCCACCACGCGGAGGTGGTCTCGCGAGCGACCGTTTCGCGCCGGCGCCCGCGGCGCAGCAATCCCTATAGGCACACACAAGCCAGTACAACCCTGCGCGCCGGTGTGCCACCGGTTCTCCCGCGACTGTATGTATATATATATATATATACACATCTATATATATATGTCTCTCTCTCTCTCTCTCTCTCTATATATATATATATCTATATCTATATATGTATATATTCCACCCACCAATACCACACCGCCCGCGCGACTCGTTCCACCTACGGACGCCAGCCGAGTAACGGTTTAACCGTCGACGGAGGAGCTAACACCTAATGGGGTTTTACGTTACGTCACGTTGGGCACGGTCAAAGAGAGCAAACCCGCGCCGCTTCCGGATACTCGATCGATTTCGGGCCAGGGGCAAGGGGCGGGGGAAAAAAGACGGGGAATCGTCCGTGACGAGTAATTGATTGTAACGCGTGTACACGTTATCGCGAACACATGCCTGATCGATGCATGAGAATGAGGCTACGCTGCGCGTTCCGCGCGACGGGTATGAGTAATGCGAGGTGTGCGGGAGAAAAAGGGAGATATTCATCAACTCTCGCTAACACGTGTATCGCGACGGGCGGCTGATAAGGCGGCGCGCTGCCGCTCGGGATCGAGCAGCCGACAAGCAGCGCGGTAATAACGATATTATGTGTTCCTTTGTCGAGCGATTAAGTCCATCTGCTGGCGAGCAGCAGAACACAAACGTCAGGATAGAGGCCACAGGAGCATGTATGAAAGAGCTAATGGCCTGGCGTGCGTATGACGCGCAACGATTACACGCTTGCCTGAATTTTGACGAAGCTCGCCGAGCTCGCCAGTATCCGCCGGACACGCGTAAGTAGTAACGGCCGAACCTGATCAGACGTGGCAGTGGATCACGCGCTAGTCGCTCAGCCTCGCCTCCCTCCCCCCCCTCCCCGCCGCCGCCACGTCCCGAGGACTGTCGTCGTTAAAATCGATTACGCTGCTGTTGGATCGTGGGTGAGAAAAATAATGGGGGGGGGGGAAAAAAAAGAACGAAAAAGGAAGAACGCGTCCTGCGATATCAGAGCGGCTATGAAAATTACGCATTTAATCGCAATTTCGCATACAATTATCAATAAAAACTTGCGTATCGAATTCAGCGACGTGAATAATTTCTTTCGTGCGTTACATTATTCCGCGCGTTTTTATTTCATTTACGCTTTAATCAGCCATCGCATTTATCGCAAACGTGCTCTACATCATCATGGATGGTTAATGTGACCGTGCATATTTTGCGAGCGATATGCGCTTAATGAAAAGATTTAATAACACGCGTCAGCGGAACAATTAAAGCGCGCGCTTGATCAGACGCGCGCGACGTAATATTTCATCTGTACTGATTTGCGAAAACAAAGGGATAAAACCGATTGGCCGTTGGGTCTTGCGGCATTATCCATGATCCCCTCAAGCTGATCCTTCACAAACAGGAAACCCAGAGCACGAAATTCCGAAGAGAAAGCTCGGAAGCCCTATCGGACCGCCGTTATGGGTGGAAAGTTTCGGTGGAAGTTTCTTCCTAACTCCGTCAGCTCCATAGGAAACGACGGAGAAATCCGAATCTAAGATGAAGGATCGGCAAGGATGACGGTACTTGGCGAGAATTTGCAAAAGTAGACAGTTTCGAGAGACAGAGAAAGAGATAAATCTGGCCTCGAACATCATCGCACGCACGCGCACACACCCCTCCTTGCCGCAACGTTCGCAATTTACGAAGGGACGGCAATTTTGGCCGCTGGAAATTTTTCACGGGCGCGAATCATCAGTGGGACGAGGTAATGTCCAGTCGATAAACGGGTTAAGTCGGGACGCCATGAGGCGATGTGGCGATCGGTATTACGAGACACGGGGCTCTTGACGAGCTCGGACGGCGTTGTTTAAACAGATGCCAGTCAGTATGTAGGTTGACACAGCGCGTTGGGAGTAGAAATGTTGAGGAGCAGAAATGTTAAGGAAGAGAAAGAAAGAGAGATAGGAAGGCCGCGCGCGCGGCGAGAGAACAGGCAGCCGTCAATCTCGCCCCCCGTTCCATCTCCGTCCCTTGCTCTCCCTCCCCCCCCCTCTCTCTCACTCTCTCTCTCTCTCTCTCTCTCTCTCTCTCCCTCGCTCTCGCTCTCCCTCGCTCTCGGTCGCCGGTGGCGTTGGGTGAGCTGATGGTAGGAGGTGGATGGAAATCAATAGCCCTGAATAATGAACCCCAAGGCAGCACCCTCTCTCCGCTCTCCACGGTCTGGAGCAGTCTCTCATGCATCCTCTCGTTCGAAAGAGGAAGGGAGAGGCGGCGAGCGAGCGGCGAGAGAACGAGAGACGCCGCGGGTACTCTCGCTCTTCCTCTCTTTCCCTCTCTTCCTTCCTCCTTCAATCTCCTTCGCCTCTCCCCCCGCGCCCGCCGAGGCCCTACTGAACCCTTCTCTACCCCTCGTTGCCCGAACGGAGGTGTTTGTGTCCTCTCCTAGTCCCCAACTTTGCTACGAGACCCCCTCGAACCCAATTCGGATAACCGACGGAAGAGAAGGAGGAGGAGGAGGAGGAGGAGGAGGAGGAAGAGGAGGAGGAGGAGCAGGAGAACACGGAAAATGATTACCCTCCTCCTCTTGCCTCCCCCCTCCTGCTCCTCCTCCTCCTCCTCCTCCTCCTCCTCCTCCTCCTCCTCCTCCCTTCATCTCGTCCCCTCACGACGGATCGATGGTCGTCGAGCACCTTAGTTCGTGATTCTCTTGGATTCGGATCAATACCTACTTTAGCATTGCAATAAAATGGTCGGACAGCGCGTTATGATAACCCTCCCGCGCCGTCTCTCTCTCTCTCTCTCTCTCTCTCTCTCTCTCTCTCTCTCTCTTTCTCTCTCTCTCTCTCTCTCTCTCTCTCTCTCTCTCTCTCTCTCTCTCTCTCTCTCTCTCTCTCTCCTTCTCTCTCTCTCTTTCTCTCTATCCTTTTCAATATACTCTTATCGAGTACCTATTGAAAAAGCTATTTTGCGCGCACTAAATTTATTTGTGATTCCGCTCGGTGTAAGACGTGTATATTACCGCGTTCTCTCCACGACGATGATAATACAGCGAGGACGTACGCAGCGAATCAATTAATTCACGACTCCGCGGATTCGCAAAGAATAAACGCTCGCGAGGTGACAGTCTGTGCTACCGGTCCTCTTTTTCTCTCTCTCTCTCTCTCTCTCTCTCTCTCTCTCTCTCTCTCTCTCTCTGTCTTTCTTTCTCTCTCTCTGACTTCTCCGCTCTAGCGTTCTCGATACCGACGGGTTAGAATAAATAGACCCGTCAATTTACATAGTCGTTAACGGGCATGCTTGGCAAACTCTTATCGGCTCCGTAGCTTCTGAACCTCCTGACCTAGCCAACGCGTTCCACGTTATTCCTACGTCTTCCTTTGCCGCGCTTCACGAACGTTAAGACACGTCCAGCGTGTACCACCTCGAATCCCTGTCCGCGGAATAGAGCGCCTATTAAAGATCGATCGAGGCCACCGCGACGTTCCTTATCCGCTTATTACACTCGATATTACTTGAGGATCCAAAGACGCTGGACGCGCGCGCGCGCGCGCACGTTGCAGTGACTCTCGCTAGCGGTACACATAATTTCATTTATGCTGGAGAGTCGACAGCGTACGACACCTATTGTTGCAGGACGATGTTACTTCCATCGCAGCTGAAATTCGATTGCGCGCCAACGAGGCGGGAGATAACGCGCGTGAAATTAACACGATCGAAAGTTCTTCAGGGATCGAATTTACCGAAGAACTGTGGAGCGGGCGGGCGGGCGGGCGGAGGGGGGGGGGAGGGGGAGAGAGACCGTGGTTTAGCCCATGCGCTTGCGTTTCCTCGCATGTTCCGCGCGACCACCCCGACCGACATCCGCCGCCGTGCAAAAGTATATTTCTTTCTCGAATTTCCCCCGCAGTTTGAAGACGCGGATCGACAGACGAATGTTATCCCAAGCAATCAAACGGATCGCGCTGGCGGTCGTGTTCTTTCGCGGGGGAAGCCAAAAGAGCCCGGGGCGGATCTACGAAACTATTCCTCGGTAAAGGCGGGCTGGTAACGACTATGCAAATTTCATTTGGCCCGGCCCAATTCTTCACACACGGAAGATTAAGACATTAGACTACGACGAGGGGAGCGAGAAGCACGCTCTAAACCGGAGAGTGAATATAGACGACGACGTGGGAGTGAAAGAGGAGCCTCGGCCGCGAAGGGAAGGTGTACACCAACGTATTACTCCTACAGTCTCAATTATCTCGTGTCTGAGGCGATAAATCAGTCGTATGCGCGCGCGCGCGCGCGCGCGCGTGTGTGTGTGTGTGAGCCTAAAACGGCGACGCTAATATTTAAGTTAAGCGCATGAAAATTCGGCTGCTCGCGTGCGCATCGTACGAAATTATTTTAGCGCGGTATTCGCGGCTCGCTCGCGCTCGCGGCGTTCATGAAGGGTCATGTCCCTCCGTCGCGAATGCAAGCGACTGTTGTTCGCGCGCCGGCGAGAATATTTGTTAGTTTTTGCAAGAACGCGATAATATCGTATATCGTTGGGAAAGAGAGGACGTAGAAAAGGACGAAAAAGAAAGCAAATTTCACTAAGCGTCATTCGGTATTTATGAAAGAAG